GAGTTAGAAATAATCCGACGCATCATACTAAACCCAGGATGACCCAATCGCTCATGCCATAATTTAAATGAATTTGGGTCTTTGAATTTTAAGCTCAATGCAACATGATTAACCACAGGTCGAATGTAAGTATGGTACAAGCCTGAGGAGAAAGAGGGAAGTTCTTCTACAATTTTCTTTTGACTTCCTTGTGAATGAGTCATTAGAAGATACTCTATATTGTTTTCAGTCTTAGTTTCAATATGAAAACCATTAGATCGAATATCTTTAAAACTAAGGAGTGTTCTTTGTGATTCAGGGTACAAAATCGCATTGTTAATTGTTAATTCGGTACCCTTAGGAAGAGTAAGTAAAGCTCTGCCGGAGCCTACTATCAAAATTTTATCATGAGCAATTCTAGAAACACTCCCCTTCTTTTCATTGAAAGTTTGAAAAAATTTCCTATCTTTCAAAATAGTGTGCGTAGTAGCACTGTCGACCAGACATAAAATGCCCCCTTTCTCCATAAGATGCAAACTAATGAATGGTTGTGGTACACTTGATATGAAGACACAATTCTTTTCTAGCGCAACACCAACAAGTTGTAGATTAGAGCGTGCTGATAACGTGTTGTAAATTAGAGTCCTCAATATTCATCAAGCATCCATCAATCAATCAAATATGTAAAATATGCAGTAAAGAGAACAAGAGAATAGAAGCAGAAAAAGTGTATATATTATTCATCGGTATTCACTCTTTTATAGGGTTTACAAAGGGAGAAACCCTAAAACCTAATCTTACTAACTAATGGACTTCAGGCCCAATTATGTATATTAGTAATGTCCATATTAATATATTTATAACACAATCCAATAATTTAAAATAAATGTAAGTCAAATAAAGTTCAGTCACATATATATATATATATATATATATATTATAAAAAATTTATTAAGTTTATTATTCAACATGCCTCATCAATTAAACATCATCATATTTCAATTATATTGAAAAATATTTTTACATTCAAAGTTTCCGAAATGGATACAAACACACAAAGATATATATTATTAGGCTATTAGCCAATCATTTTCAGTAAGTGAAAATTTTGGATTTTATAATTACGGAGTCATGAATGTAAGTTATCATGAATGTGAATTGAAAGAGATCCTTAGCAGAAAATAATCTCTCCTTTGGCAATCCCACTAAAATCATCCTTCTTTTTGTCATGAATCATATATAATGATCAAGAGATCCTTAATCAGAAAATAGTCTCTCCATAAACACCACGAAAACTGCAATCAGTAAAAAATTCAAAAGCATTAAAAAGAAATCAGATGTGTTTAAGCTTCCCTTGTCGAAGGGGCCTTCTTTGCAGCCTCAGCAGCAGCTTTCTCAGCTTCAATGTCTGCAACAATGGTGTCGATCTCAGCTTCTTCAAGCTGCTGCAAACCGTGCTCTTTAGTCATCACGGCAACTTCAATGTTCTTTCCTCCACTCTCCACAACCTTCATACCCATCGGGAGAAAAAAAAAAATTATTTTAATCTGGAAGAAGTCGGCTTCTATAAATTTATTGATCAGAACTAAGTCCATGATCGAGCTATTCAGTCTTTCCACATTGGTTGACGCTTTCACAGCACACAATTATGGTTCACATTTTATAATTTCCTAATGAACTTGCACGATTATGGTTCACGTTTTGACATTTCAATACGAACTAACAGTACAAGTTTCTCAGGGTGTGATTGGATATGTACTTGACTGATTTTTTATTGGTTTTTTTTTTTTTT